TAGGGCCAACACTTAGATGGTTGCGCCACTCTGAAGCCCCTATGTTGGTGTTTTTTCTCCGTCCTCTGAGTAAATTACAGGCTGAACTACCTACTGTTTTTCACCAAACTCTGAGGTCATCTGCTAAATTTATTTCTGTCTAGATACAAATCTGTGATCTGTGAATTTTCCCGGCAGATGTTTTATCACATTGTTGACTGTTGGTACACATGCTGCTACTTCATCCATTTACTTGGTCTGAGTGGTGAAAGTTCGTCTCCATCCTCTCTACCCCAGGAGAGCGTTAGCAGGAGGAGAAACAAAATCAGGATAGAGAAGCGAGATCTCAGCTGATCAAAGGAGTGATGAAAATATCAGCTACATGTTAGATTTACATACAGATGTACAATGTCATCAAAGATTTATATCCACAATATTATCAACCTTTCATGCGAATAGTGTGATATCTCTGACGAGACATGCATTCTTTTACAGACACTCCCCTGATTAACTAATCCAACAGGGCTAAGTTACAGAGAAAATCTGTCTGAAAAAAATGTTTTAGGACATCAGATCCTAAAAACTGTGGTAACAGCCATCTTGGAGGGTGAATTTTGTCTGTTTTTTTGTCAATTTTTATAGATGACAGTAACTGAACAACTTCACACCTCAGGCAGATGTATAAGTTTAATTGTTAGCTCTATTAGCCTTATAATCCCTGTGCAAAACTACAGAAGAAAACCTGTCCTGTAAATATGTTTGGGGAAAAGGGGTATTTTTCACTGAACTATCACTTTAACTCTTTGTCAGTGTTCCTAGGTGTAGATGTGGATGTGCAAGGGGTGTATGTGTACATGTTCCTGTGGGGATGTGAGTGTGTGTGTATATAAATGAGTGCAGTGCTCTATAAAGGCCTATTGTAAGTTTGCAGGCTGTCAGAATAGGGCAGATGACTGGCTGCTGGAGCTGAATAGCGGTGGAGCTTTTATCAGAGTTCCAGTGTGATAGAGGTTTTGTGTGTCTTCCATCTCAATGAGCTCGCTCTCTACATCCAACTCACATCCACCTCGCGCACTTTACTATAACAGGCCCTGTAGCGCACAGCTCTCACTCCTCCAACCACACAGCCTGACTCTCTGCTTTACTGCAGTATGGTCAGGGGTGTCACAGGAGCCCACCTACCAGTCCAGGTAGGAGCAGAGTGCAGCAACTCAAATTATGTAAACATAATAAAAAGATATTATGATACAGAAAATACTGCTACTACTGAAGGTACTACTGATTTTACTTCTTCTACTACTGCTTCTGAACCTACTACTACTATGACTACTTCTACTGCTACTACTAATACTACTACTACTGATACTGCTACTACTGCTGCTACTACTTCTACTACTACTACTGATACTACTACTGCTGATTCTACTTTTTCTATTACTACTGCTGATACTACTACTACTCCTCCTCCTACTACTACTGATACTACTACTACTACTACTACTGATACTACTACTACTACTACTGATACTACTGTTAATACTATTACTACTGATACTATTACTACTACTACTATTACTACCAAAACTACTACTACTACTACTACTACTATTACTATTGATACTACTACTACTATTACTACGGGTACTACTACTGATACTACTGTTAATACTATTACTACTGATACTATTACTACTACTATTACTACTGATACTATTACTATTGATACTACTACTACTTTTAATACTATTACTACTGATACTACTGCTAACATTACTATTGATACTACTATTACTATTGATACTACTACTACTATTATTGCTACTGATATTTCTATGACTACTACTAGAAATAATAATAACAAACAACCATAACAACAAAAGAGAGCAAACTTTCAATAATATTAACAGCAACAACAGTAATAACAATAGTAATAGCAATAATCTACTTTATACATATGAACTTTATTTTTAATCTTTCTTCTTCTTCTTCTTCTTCTTATTATTATTATTATTCGTTGTAATATGAGTAATATTTTTTAAAACCATTCAAATGAAGTAATTATAAAGTGTTATTAATAATATTATTACACATTTGTGAACTTGACCACTCTTCTACTAATCTCTAGTGCATAATTTAACATTTTTCGAAGTGCAACTGGGAAAAAAACCAAGAGATGTTTTCCTGTTTTCCATTCTCATGAGTCCAGGCCAGCCTGGCAGTCTGCCTGCATGCCTTCCTTCATCTGCTTGGCTGGAGAGCAATGAGCGGAGCTGCTCAGGCTAGCAGTATAACCATGTGCTGGCTAATGTAGTGCATGCAATGTGAAATTGCATGTGTTGCCATGCAAGGCATAATAGACAGAGAACTAAAGGAAGTCCAGCCTCATCAAAGATCTGCCAAAGAGCTCGACAAGTGAAATAGATAACAATTTGGAAGCTTTAGCTGTAGCACTGTTGCTGGTGCTGGTACTGTTTGAAATCACTCGCTAAAGCATTAGAATCCATTGAGTCAGAGCACAAAGGACCACAGCAACAGCTGCTACTGGTGCCTCAGCTCGCCAAAAAACACATGCGGGTAATTCCATCCTCTGCAGTAAACAACGCTGCTGTTTTCATATTGCATTTAGTGTGTTTTTTAAGGATTTGATTGCCTTCTGTATTTTTCAGGCGTAATAAATTGAGTAAATTGTGTGCGCATACTGTATCTCCGGCTTTTGCTAAATGTCCACAGTTGCTAAAAATTGTGCATAAATATTGAAATTGATATTTAAATATTCAAAATACTCATGCAAACAAACACAGCATAACACTGGAGCATTCCGCAGAAAGGTATGTAGTGTTCTTTCTCGTCAGTCTTCCATAGCCTGAAAATTCTTTGCAAGCCTTCATGCGCAGTGACCTGCAGTTGACAATTGCCAAAATGTACCATTCAGTTTGTGTTCTCAGTGGATTTGTTTGATGATTCCATTCATTCCTGTATTCTAACACATGTATCTAACGTGTCATGAATGAATCCACGAAGGCCGTTTTAACTAACTGTATAGCTAAGTTGGTTATAGCTAATTTTCAGTCATGTGCAGCATTGCTGCGCCCTGGTTCCTCTCGCATACAGTGCTTTATTTTTGCTTTAACTTTGTTCTTGTTTACAGCTCATGCTGGGTAACCAGCCACAGTGTCTGGTCAGGAAATCAAATCTTTAGATTAAACCCGTCAGATATCTACATAGCTGTAACATTTAACATTGTGGGCCAGACTTAAGAATAAATTAGAAATATGTGAGAGGTCATGTGCCCCCAGGTAGGTATTTTGAGACCCCTGATTTAGACATAACATATTGGATAGCATGTTATACATTGTCACTGTCAGATCAAGCCTTCTAACTCTTGTTTTTGTTCTCATTTTTTACAACATTTGAAAACACCAGCTACTCTTGAACATTACATTTGTATTAATATATGACCTGCAATAAGATCTCATCAAATATATAAATGTACACATTAGTGTTTCCTTCTGCTATTAAAATAAAATGATTATTACCACTTCAGAGATACAAGGTTTACTTTCGACAGTAACAATATGACCTAATTACAATAAGTATTTACAGTACAGTGAATCAAATTATTTCACATCATTGATCAGTATTGGGGCCACACTTTCTTTTCTCTTACTGCATTCCTCTATGAAGGTTTTTGGTCATTTAGGTCATTAACTGTCTAGTAGTAGTAATTATGAGAATATGAAGCACTTCAAACTTGAAGTATTGAAACGTCTTCACAATGTTACCGCAAGTAGAGTCACGTTCACTTACTGTTACTAGACTACTGCAGTTTAGGAGTGCCTATGTGTGTCTGCCCACCACCACTACAGAAATCCTAATTTCAGCTCACATATGGGAGTTGTAATGTTATGTCGAAGTCAATGTAGCAGTAGTACACATGAGCATTTTATGGCAGCTATAAATTAAACACAGAAATTTAAAGCTTGTAATAGACATTAACGTATCTTTGTTCTTGCATGTTGCAGTTTTACAGCATTTTTTTGCAGTAAAGAGCCCTAGTTTAGAGCTGCCTCTTGTATTTCCAGGCAGTTATGTATCTAGGACTTGCAAAAGGCCTAAAATGATGTTCACAAAATTGGAAATCTAAACACCATTTCTTGATTCAACTCTGGACGCAGAGGGTCTTCTGTCCAGCTCCTGAAGGCCTAACCAGTGGGAAAGCTAGCTTGGCTGAATCTTCCTAGACAAAAAAAATCATAATTGGATACTTTTCAAGATTTTATCCGTCATTTCCGAGCATGATGATTCTGTGAAATTAAAAATGAACTAAAATTTACAGACAAGTATTTTTAATTTCCCAGAAATTATTAGGCCTAGAAGGCTCTTAAGGGTTCTCTTCTGCTGAATTCCTCCTACAGTGTTCTCTAAGGCTTTGTGCCTTAGACTACTGTTTTATAAATGCTTTTTTCAAAATTGTGAAGCAATACAAAATGTCCTTCATCTTGGATCTTTTAACCCAAAAGTGGCGCCAGTTGGGAAAAATGACAATGCATTCGTCAAGTCATTGCTAAAAGAAATCATTTTAAGAACTAAAGTAAACCACTGTAAGTGGCAGTCTGGTCTTGGTATAAGAAAAAGTTTTCAAATGACAGCAACCCCTTACACCCCCCCCAAAAAAGTCCAATATGTATGTCTACCATATTTCTCTTTTAGTAAACATGGAGCCAGACCTGGGGTGGCTGTTTCAGCAAATCCTGATAGAGAGACATCAAGCGAATTATCCTGGGACATATTGAACAAAAATGACTTTGGAATTACTGTTTGTTTGGACTATGAATGGCGTGTGAATTACAGCCCATATAATAATGACATTGTAAACCAGAAACACATTTTTAGTCCCCTGAAAGGTGGAAAAAGAGAGAGTTGAGATATTGCTTGTTGTAACAAAAACAGCCTTAAGCTTCACATTTGTTGGTTTACTGTGTGTTTGTGTGTGTGTGTGTGTGTGTGTCCCTGCTCAACAGGCCTATTAAACCTGGAGGTGTTACTGCGACAGTTTCTCATCTCCAAGGAAACCCTCTCGGTTCGCATGCTGGATGACAGCCAAGACCCGACCCCCCTCCTCAAAGAGATCCGAGACGACAAGACCGCCACCATCATCGTCGATGCCAATGCCACCATGTCCCATATCATCCTGGAGAGGGTAAGTAGGAGCTACACAAGGAGTTCTTTTTTAGATTTCGTGTGTTGTGTTTACTTGAATTATATCCATCATTTGTTCCAGAAAGATGCTGGTTCAAAACCAACAAACACACATAAGTCTAACATGCTTGAGTTTGGTGTGAACAGCCCTCTGCACTAGTAACTGCTCTAAAATGCAGATTTTTTTTTCCTTTTCAAAAGTTTGTACAGTCACATATAATGAACTGATGCTCCACTATTAATAGTAATGACATCAATAGGTTAGTAATAATTATAATAATAATAACTAACATAGCCAGAGGATCACGTGTAAGATGGAATTATGTAATAAGACATTTAGTTGAAATAGTGTAAACACTATACAGTATGCAAAAGTTTGGGCACCCCAGTGAGGTTAATGTTTTGTTGATTTTCTAAATATAAAAATCTAACGCATCCTCTGCAGACAATGTATTTACTTATTACTATGTAATATATTGAAAAAAAAAAACATAAAATGTGGCCTATGCAAAAGTTAGAGAACTTTCAGTGTTATGTTTTATTTTTTTAAATATTCTAAATTCAAAAATAAATAGAAATTGTGCACAAAATATCAGAAAAATGCCATATTTGTGTATGTTTAACATAGAGGAATCTTATTTTCACTTAGGAAATTAACAAACCAGGGATGTTCAAACTTTTGTATTCAGTTTTCCATTGCAAGTTATGTTTTCACTAACAATATAAGTGAAAAGTAGAATCTTTGAAATATGGACATCAATTTTAAAATTTCATGTTATTTTTTTTTAGTCGCCTTTTTGCTTTAATGACAGTGTGCACTTGAGCTGGGATGTACTTCATAAGTGTAAAGGCCTCTAATAATAGATCAGATCCACTTGAGAGCCTAAACCTGAGCTTCAATGAAAGGATTAAGACTAACAAGTATCTCTTACAAACAAATTTACTTCCATTTGAATAGTGACAAATTTCATTTTACTTGTCAAAAAATTAAAAAATTCTAAAATCTTTTGTTGTTTTTCCTCATTTAAATGAAAAAAGTCCATATTTTTAAAGTTGTCTCAGACTTTTGAACTCCACTGTATATAAATATATAAACTTAAAAATGCATGCAAAAGAGAAACAACTGGAATGGTCATAGCGACAACATTAAAAGCTGCTTGTGTGATGTGGTATGCTTAACCAATCAGGCTTGTATCTTGAGCAGGTACCAAATACCCAAACCTCTGACACTGGGCCAGTGGCCATTGTAAAAAGCAGAGTTTTCAGGTTTTCAGTGCCAAAAGTTGTGGAACCTTGTTCAGTTGAAAAACAACTGGATCCTACAGGATACAATCCTAAAAATAAAGGTACAAAAAGGGATTCTTCAGAGCAATGCCATAGAAGAAGCCCTTTTGGTTCCCTAAAGAACCAATGAGATGTATGAGGAACCTTTTTAATGGTTAAAAAACTTCCACATAATGTTTACGCTTTTTTTCTAGAGCCAGACAACCATTCAGGAACCTTTATTTTAAAGATTAGGCCTTTCCTTCCAAATTATGGAGGAGGCCTCCCCAAATGTATTGGTTGGGTGTTAAATTTCAGACTCTAATAGAAGGAGATTAGATGTTTGTGTCAGTTGCAGAGATTGTTAAAGGCGTGCAACTGGGCACAGCATGAAGAAAACTGCTGCCAAGGTCTTATCTGGAAGTCATGATTAGAATTCAGACTTGAATGGATGATGAACTAGTTTTGTGTGCAGGTTGAAAAGAATAACAAGCACGGTATGATTGGGAGTCCAAGTGTGCGGAAGTGGCCTGTTGAGATCAGTGCAGATGAGCTTTAGCCTTGGGACAGGTTTCAGATTAGCCATTGTTAAAAGCAACAGTTTGGAGAAGTGAAAAGCTATTTATAGCAGCATTTCTCTCCAGTATAAAGCACCTTTCAAGTTTCAGCTTTCTCTCCCACTGTGAGGTGTTCGGATGCATTTACGGCCATCTTTTTATTCGCCTGGTGCTTTCAGGCTTTCTTCAAGCACCGCCGCCTCTGCAAATCCTCATTAGGAAAGTTCCCTAATAAAGCGTCAGCCGCTGATTGAGGTGATGGGACATGGCTATGGTGATCCGTTTTAAGAAGGGCCGATTAGATTAGAAAGTGACAGAGCTCATACATGCATGGGCTCTCAGCAGCATATGGCTGTATCATAATTAAAACATAGCCCATTATTTCAGGCACAGGCAGATTAATAGCTGCTAGAGGAGAAGCTGAAGGCAGGATCTAGATTAGAAAGAGTCCGTCTGTAGCGTCTCGCTTTTTTTTTTAATCTGTGGCTACTCACCAGGCATCAGCTTCAGTTTCCTGGCCAAAGTATCACAGTAGCACTTTTAGGGAGGGGCACCAGTAGCGCTGAAAAATGAATGATAGTGCTGGGTGATCCTAATAGAATTCAATATCATGATATTTTCCAAATATATCAAGGTATCATAATATCAGATGATATTAAAGTTTGCATTAATAAAGTAAATGAACCCATGCTTCCTGAACACTGCTAGGTTAAAAGAACCTTTAATAAACCTGACCATTTGTTTTAAAGACCTTATTTTAAACCAAAATGTATGCATTATTACACAAAATTATAAACTTTAACCCAACAGAAACTAGATTTATAGAAACTTACCATTTATTTAGTGTTTGTTTATTTGAACTGTTCTTTCAACACAATCTGAAGTATTCCAGAAATAACATACATTTAGGCCTGAGCCAGTGATTCAGTCCTATTTGGATAACGATGTGGACAATAACTGTGATAAACACTTAAGTGGCTTTGAGATGTGGGGGGGATGGTTTTCATTTGCTTAGTATTTTTTAAGGTTTCAGCTCACATACTGATAAGTGTTGTTATTATTATTTTTTGATTGTCTGCTGAGCATTAGCAGCTGTACTTCAAAAATAAAATAATAACAATAATAATAAAACTAGCAACACACTGAACATCAGACATCAGAGCAAACACAGTGATAGCGTGTAAGCTGAAGCTTGTTCTTTGTCAAACAAAAGAACATAATTCCATCATGGTTCAGTAACAGGTGGTCATAGTTTATCATCTTTAATTTGGCCACAAAACTGTAATTAATCTAGCAAGAAACAACAAATTGTGAAGGTCATACAGACTTTAGCTTCCAGTGCCATTGTGTCTATGGCTGATTAGATTGGCCTGGCTGTGCAAGAGCTGAGACATGAGTGTTTTGAATCCTGACGCTGTGGTGTGAGGATGTCTTAAGATGAACATCACACCACAGGCAGCTTTTTGTTGGTGAATAATTCTACTGAATTGGTTCAAAGTCAGAGTTGAAAACACAATTTTGGTGTTTTAGCTAATGTAGAGTTTAGACTAAAATACTTTGACTAATCCTATTTCTTAATTATATTTGTTTAATTTAAAAAAAGAAAAAATCCATTTTAACTCCACCAATACAGTAATTATGCATCCAAAGCTTTTTCACTACTGTTTGGGTAATGACAGTTTTAGCTGATTTTGAGCATTTGAGTGTTTTCACATTGAAATTGCTTTGAAATTAACGAGTGAGGGTTTAGGCTTCTCCCAATGGAAGGTACCCTATAAAGGTTATTTTGTATTTATTTATTTAGCTTATTACTACCTCAATCATGCCTTGGGCTTAAACAGTTTATACTATAGAACCACAGTTCTCATTTGGTAGAATGGTCCAGATGTGATATCAGCCCACAGTATTGAGTGCATTTAACCAGCCCAGCACTGTGTTTCTACAACAATCTCGTCAATTCTGAGAAATCTCATCTATACGAGGTACAGTAAATGTTGTAATATAACAGGAGTTCACATTACCCAACATCCAGTACTGTCTGTCAAAAATATTGATTATGGAAAAAGTTGATATATCAACTCATACTTGCTCTATACAGCTCTATTTGTAAGACACACATGGTCATTCCGACTGATTTCAAGTCTTGGATGGCGGTGCTGTGACAGGGTAAAGTAAGAGGAAACTGCAGAATGCATAGGCTAACAGTAGTTATATTTGGTGGTATGGCTCTGTTCTGGGACCTCTCTGCCCTTCCATGGGCACACATGGATAGTCTAAGGCAGGTAGAGAAGCAGAAGGACCCTCAAAATGACCATACCAGGCAAACCCCCAACCAGCAGGAGATTGCAAAGTGGCTTGCAGGCTAAATAAGCACTGTAGTAAATTTAGCCAATTGTATGCATAGCAGGTGATCAGGTGATCTCAATCAGCTGATGACAGCTGGTGATTTGAGATTGGAGCCTTTGTGATCTGCCTTAACTAATGCTAATGGTCAGTTTGCATAAGCTCAGAAGTATGGAGGCCCTTAAAAGTTATTTCTGTCAGTGGTTCTCAAGCTGGCCATGAAGAACCACAAGGCATTCCACATTTTTGCTCCAGTCCGATTCAGAACACATAGAGCGAAAATGTGGACCGTTTGGAGGACCCTGAGGACCAGTTTGAGAACCACTGGTTTATGTGATTGTCAGAACAGAACAAATGTTGTTTTCCCAAGATACTGAAATCATTTTCTCAAGATAGTGACATAATTAATTTGAGATTTCTAGAAAACAAAACGTTTTCCACAGATGTGAGAACAAACAGAAAGCTTGTTTCACACAAAGCTGGCACATGGCAAACACTGGGCTCAGCTCCTTACTGCACCACCAGTGCTACTGACCAATACAGCCCCTCAAATTAGAGCCTGCAGACAAATAAATGGGCTACACAAAAGCAACCAGTGGCTAAACAGCCCTGAAAGCATGCATTTTCTCCTCAGCTGAGCACTTGTTCAGTCTGATTACTCTGAATAACTCTGAAAAAGCTATAGGGGCAACATAAATGTGTATAGACGTGCAGTAAATGTCACCATTCAGGGCTGTATGAAAGCAGACTGTACACTCATATGCAGATCACAGAAATAATTGATTTCTGATCTTTTGAGATTGTTGTTGAGATTATTGTATGATACATGGTGGCTACC